TTTAGATAAGGACAATTAGTCACCAGCGAGACCCTGTAGGAAGAGAGGTTTAAATCAGAGGATTTAATGAGGGTGCTCTAGGTCTTCCCTGCAGCCATGCCCTCCAGCAGCTCTCGCCCCCCCGCATGCCTAGCCCTGGTGGCTTTCTTCTTAGCTCTGTGGTTCCAGCGTTCCCTGTCCTCCCAGGCTGGAGACAGGAGACCCTTGCCTGTAGCCAGAGCTCCAGGTTTGAAGGAAAAGACCCTGATTCTACTTGATGTGAGCACCAAGAACCCAGTCAGGACAGTCAATGAGAACTTCCTCTCTCTGCAGCTGGATCCGTCCATCATTCATGATGGCTGGCTCGATTTCTTAAGGTAAGGCAGGGGCTTCAATGGAATTTTTTTTTTTTTTTTAAAGTAATAACCCCTACCCCTTCCTACCCCTCATTCTAAAAGGGGAAGAAGAAGAAGAAGAAAATTAACCAAGAGGATCTCTCAAAGAGAAAAAAGGAGGGTTTCCTCCTCCTGGAATATTTGCTGTGAGGCTGTAGTAGTGATTGAGAAAAGCAATGTTTTCTATTAAGATGCACATGTTTGCAATGCAGAAGGCATTTCAGAAACTTATCAGTTATGACTGAAAAAATGTTATGCTTACATAGATCCACAATTAGCCTCCCCGTCTTCTGATGAAAAAAGAAATAAGAGGTTAGGGCAGTTACAAAAGCGAAGAAAAGGTCTTGATCAACAAAGACCCGAGAGGAATGGGTGTGTGTGTGTGTGTGTGTGTGTGTGTGCGTGCGCGCGCGCGCGCGTGTCTGAGTGTGTGTCTGTGAATGTTCAAGCGGGCATTGCACGAAAGTGGAATTTTCCACGGAAAGATCGTTTCGTCAGTTCTCTCCCACTCCCAGATAGAAACGAATTTAATTAATTAAGCAGAGGCTTGAGCGGTGGGGAAGTTGGATTGGATTTTTAAACTTTTATTTTAAATCTTCTGCTCTCGTCTCCAGATTTTAGGACTTTGTAAGGAGCTTTTTATAGACAGAATGTCCCCCAGTCCCTCCTCCTCAAATCTCCTGCGGTAACTGCATAGTTTAGTTTTTCTTTAAAGAAAAAAAAAAAAAAAAATCCTCAGTCTGGTCATAGCGTACATAAGGCGAGCGTAAAAGGTCCTAGATATACTCGGGGGATGTTTCGGAGGTCTGAACCCGGCACCGCCGGATAAGCGACCCGCGAGATTTGCAATCACGACTCGCCTTTGCTGTGGGGTGGAATTTAATTGGGCCCCCTCAGTCCCCGTCGTGTTGCTGCTGTTTAGCAGTTAGGCAACCGCTATCCCTTCCCATCAGGGCCAGAGCTGCAGTATGAAATAAAAGAAGAAATCATCTACAATGTCGAAACCAAGTGTTAAGTTTTTAAAAATTCCCTCCAAATTGGAGCCCCTAGTCCCACTCCTCTGCCCTGAGACCGCGTCCGTCCGCGCGTCTTTCGTGAGTATTTTTTACTTCTTGGCGAAATTCGAGTTTTGCGGCTCTGGATGCGGCTGTCTCCGGCTCCCGGGGTCTGCCCTTGGCCGTGGAGGGGTCTGCAGGCGCGGCAGGTAGCTGGAGGAACCACGTGAAACGCGACTTCCACCTGGAGAGAGCTCAGTCCCAGGATGGGGTGCCGCAGCCGCTGAGGCCGTCTCGGTTCCAGCCGGTGCCTCCGCGGGCAGGGAGGGAACAGCTTCTCTTAGCCCAGCTTCCTCGGCCAAAGCTCCTTCTGGCGGCGAAGCGCGCCTCTGAGCTCCTCCGAGCGTGGGGTGCGAGAGGGGTTTTCCGAAACGCAGCTCCTCAAGGTGGCCCTTCTCCAGCTGCGCGGACTCCTCCGGGTTTATTGATTTTTGAAAAATCAGGCTGTTCGCGCTAAAAGGCCGCAGAAGTGATTCTGAGAAGGGGTTTTGAGGGGAAGAAGCCGTGGCGGGGCGCATTTGCATTGGCTGTGCAGGTTTCCGGATGGCCGGGTCTTGGAAGTGCAGTCTTCTCGGGCCGGCCTCGCGCAGATGCTAGACCCGGCCGCGCACCGCCTACCGATGCCAGCCAGCCCTGGAACGCGTCCTGGACTCTTCGGCCACACGACCTTTCTGGCCACCGGACTTCTCAGCAGCTCTCCGAAAGAAAAGTCTTTCTTTCTCTCTCTCTCTCTCTCTCGTGTCCGCCTTCTTCTTTGTAATAGTCTTTAGCTTCTAATTTGGACTTGGGTCCTCAGAAGTTGAAACAGCAAAGCGTTAAACATTACGTACAGATCCGGAACGCCAAAGCAGATCCGCTCATCAGTAACAGCATCTGCTCTGCCGACAAAGCAGCGGGTGGCTTTTTTTTTTTTTTTAAACCTACTTTATGGAAATAATGAGCCGAAATAGATATTAATGCCATTGTTCTGGTGCTCCCTGAGTTGCCTCTGACGTGCAGGTTCAACCTTTCTGCAAACTTTACTCCTCCCTCCCCCCAATGCTTCGAAAAAGCCTCAAGTGGGGAAGAAAAAAAAAGATGGAGCCCAACTTGGGGGCTGCGGGAAGATGGTATCTTTTCTGAGATAAGGCTGAATTATCTCTGGGGCCAAAGAGCCTTTGCTTTTACTGGGCTGTGTGTGTGCCTGTTCTCGGAACGGCCAGGACTTACCCTCGGAATCTCTCTCGCCCTGGGGTTGGGGAGATGAATGCGGTTGCTAAGTAGTGGAAAGGAAAGGCAACTTTGGCTTTGGGGTGGGGGGAGCGGAATCAGCTTGCTCTCAGGCGCCAGGCCTGGTCTGAGAGAAAGAATGCGGGTTCATGTTCTCCACGGAGTCTGCGTTGGCCCTGGAGCCGCGGAGGTAGGTCCCGGCTTTCGGGGTAGAAGTTTGGCACACGTCGGAGCCCAGCTGCCCGCGCGCTGCGCGTCCCCGCCGCGAACGCCTTCTGGGCAGTGAGAGGAGCTGGGCGAGTGCTGCTTAGCCCCTTGTAGGCAGCAGAAGTGCCCCTCCCGTCCCCCCACCGCTCTCGTGACAAACACAAATTCAAACCCTTGGAAAACCGGTACCTTTGTGAACAGCGTTGGGGGAGCTGAGGGAGAGACCCTAGGGGCCCAGCGGGCGCAGTTGGAGTCGCCCCGGGAACCGGGAGGCTGAGGGCCAGGCCGGGTTGTGGCGCCAGGCGAGCAAGAGGCGACTGAGCGCTCGCGCTTCGCGCTCCGCGCGCGGGCACGGAGCCCCAGGCCTGGGCCAGGTCGCCTGCAGGGAGTGGGGAGAAGGCCATGCCCCCGGATCCTTTCCTCTCCTTCTCTACCCCTGCAGCTC